ATCTCTAAGTTGCATCAAGGCTTGGTAAGCGCCAAGCCAAGGGGCTTATTGACTCGCGAAACACTCGTCTCGTTTGCTTTGAAGACTATTCGTTCAGTGCCCAGTTAAGTGGCTGTCTTACCACGCACGTATGCTTTTACGTAAAATTTAATTTACGTAATACGGTCTGTATTACGTAAATACATTTTACGTAAATGCTCTCGTTTTACGAGACCTTAAAATGTTGAGGATATGTAAACGTAGAAATTAATTTTATCTGACTAATGACTAAATTCTATTAGAAGGGTTCAGTTAAATTACTGGTTAATTAGAGTACACTTGACACAATAACAAATACGCTTAAGTTGACAACGCATTTATTTAAAATTAAAAAAAAAGTTCCTCCGTAAATTTTTTGGTCTCTTTGTTAATTATCTGTATATAAGTAAGGTGTATACAATCTCGTTATTTTATTTTATTCGCACTAAAAGCTTGCAAGGGTTTTGGTTAAGAAAGGCCCTTACATAGCACGGAAGCGCTGTTCTATTAATACCATCTAGCTCCAATTACACATATTTGCACGAGTAATTAAATTAAGTGAGGCCAGTTTGATCCAGTTTGTAATAAATGAATAGTAAATATCGACGGACATATTTTCATACAGCGTTACCGGTAACTAAAAATACTCAAACATGTTTTCTGTAACACCGAGTAAATATGTAAACACCGAGACAATAGAAAAACATTATGTTCATCACAATAGTTTAGAGATCGAACCCATAGTAAAATAATCCCAAGAAACCGGTTCACTATGCACCTCGACATTCGGGATTTCTTAGACCCCATCTGAATTATTGACAACTGTTTTGTGAAAGCAAATAACAATATAAAAATAGTGACAGCCTATACACATTACATATACTACATACATACATAAATGCATGTCCCAATGCTAGACAAAGATCTCTGGAAAGAGAAAATGAATTATTTAACTTTTAATTCATTAAAATTTGAAGAATAAATGGACAGAGTTTTTTCGAAGCTGCGGGAACCGAACCCACGACTTCCGAATTCGTGCCTGGACGCGGTAACCACTAAGCGGGTGACTGCCACACCGAATAAAATCTTGAATAAAGTCATACATGTCCATGTTCATATAACAATTCATTATACAAAATGTACACAAACTAAAGGCGCGATAATCACCTCGAGTTTCCTTCTGTAATTCATAAAGAAAAACCATTTCGAAGGTCCCCCGTTTAAGTGGGCGTCGTTCGTTAAGAGCGTTACGTCTAAAAGGGTAACTAATGAGGCGTTGGCGTTAATTTGGTGCAAGCGACGAGCGGAAGCGAGAGCGGTGATCAGTAACAGTCATTGAAATATGACTGACGAATTGTTCTATTCGTGTAAATACATGTTTTCTACGTTCGAAAGATGTGGTATACAAACGTTGGATAGGATAAATTTAAAGGATTTTGTTAGGAGAATGATATAAATATCATTTGTAGTTACACTTACATTTAGCAAGCTTTGAGCATTTCTTTGTTGCTTCTAATTTAAACACCAGTAAAAGGAGATAGTAGATAATAGGAATGTAGTAACAGTGTATTATATACTTTTTTCTATGTGAAAAATTATGAAACGAGCAAACGGTTCACCTGATGTTAAGTGAAAACTACCGCCCATGAACATTCAAAACACTTGAGGGTCTGAAGGTGAAGAACTTTCAAAAAACTGGGCGTTGGATACCTCACTCACTAGACGAAACGCGAAACTATAATACTTCCACTTGACACTGATTCTTTGTGAAACCGTGGTATTTCCCCGGACGTCCTGCTCATTCGTGCAACAGAAGCTGTTGCATAGCCCTACTACAGTACAAAATAAAAACGTGAAGACTTGATAAAAGAGTATGGCAATTTTAGGACAAAATTCCAAGTAATACGCAATACAGATACAATGTTTTCTCTTGTGGTCGGTTTTCATTCAATATATAAAAAAAAATACAACGGACCTATAAAAATGTTAAACAAGAACAGAGTTTCAATTTTTTGATAAGTAATAGCGACGTATTATCGACAGTATCCAAATAAATTTCAGAGAAGAGTAGTTAAAACAATCTACACCCCCATCTTTACTACGAAGGTGTAAAATTGCAACGTTATTTTATTCTTAACGCTGTACTCGCTAGATATAGGTGAATTCTTGCAGTGCTCACCATGGGCATTGACTGTGTATGAAATATGATAAATAAACTACAAAAACGTGAAGAAATACAAATTACACGTTTCTTAGCGAAGCAAGATTGAAAAGCGCAAGAGTTTACACAGCAAGTAATCACACCGTATAACTACTTTTCACAAACGATGTGACAATAATCGCTTAACTGTTGTGACTTAAACCACAACCACAAGCCGATTACGCCAATTTCGTTGGAACATTCCCCAATTTTCCAAAATTATTCTAAATTGTTGGAACTTCCTTACAACTAAGTACCTTAAGAGGTCATAAAAAAATAATTATTTCATATATTCCATTATTCATTTATAGATATATTTGCCACATAACAAGGAGTATTTTAAACAGCCAGGTACGAAGACACAGAAGACCGGCGTGAGGTTGAAGTCTTATACTTCTGCGTTTCGTCTGGTGAGTGAGAGGTAGCCGGGGCCCACTTTATTAATAGGTGGCGCATCTCCAACCCTACGGGTGTTGCCAATGAGCAAAGGTTATCACGTAACAGCAGGTGATGCCACCTTCTCATATCAAAAAATAACATTATGAATATATTATACATATAAACCTTCCTCTTGAATCACTCTATCTAGTTAAAAACCGCATCAAGATCCTTTGTGTATTTTTAAAGATTTAAGCGTACATAGGGACAGACAGACAGACAGAGGGACGACTTTGTTTCATACTATGTAGTGATAATAAATATTTAAAAAAACTCTTTCTCTTTCGTCCTGCAATTATTGGGATAGTATAAAAAACGGTCGGCACAACGTGTGCTTTTGATATATACTGACCCCTTTTATAGACACTCTTCACACAGTCCATCCAAATCTTTTTCGGTCTTGCTCTAGTTTAGCACCCTCCTTATAGCCTAATGTTTGATAATAACGGTGGTAGAGCTCATACATAGCTACGTAGCAGCCTCGGCTGTTGCACGAATGGGCAGGCGCGTCCGAGTAAATACCACGACCTCACAGAAGACCGGCGTAAAGTGGAAGTATGACAAATACTTTCGCGTTTCGTCTTGTGAGTGAGGTAGCCGGAGCCCAATTTTCAAAAGGTTGTCAACGCATCTGCAAACCCTCGGGTGTAGCAGATATCTATGGGCAGTGGTATTCACTTAACATCAGGTTAACCATCTGCTCGTTCGGCAACTTTTCACATTAAAAAAAATTAAAAAAATCGTCCATTTCGTCATGATATTCAAAATAAACATTTGCATTCGCCGCCAAACGCTGTACGAAGATTTCCGAGAAGCGAATTACGACAAAACTTCAATCGCTTCGACATTTCCAATCCGATCGGTCCGGTCTCGTTTCGATGTAGCGTACCGTAACGGTGTACATCAAATGTTGGACAAGGACAATGTAGGTAATCGGATAGGACGCTTTTAGACGAAACGGTGAAATAACGTTGCCCTATCCAACTTTTGCTTATCAAATGTTGCGAACATAGAAGCCATCTATTACCTGTATTATAATATGAGTAATTATAATATTTCCGTGAATGTTTACTTGGGACGTAATTTTTTAGATTATCGTACCCAAAGGGTAAAACGAGACCCTATTACTAAGACTCCGCTATCTGTCTGTTTGTCTGTTTGTATATCTGTCTATTTGTCTGTCTGTATATCTGTCTGTATATCCGTCTGTCACCAGACTGATCTCATGAACCGTGGTAGTTAGACAGTTGAAATTTTCACAGATGAAGTATTTTTGATTCCGCTATAACAACAAATACTAAAAAACAGAATAAAAAATATTTAAGTGGGGGGCCCCCATAAACAGCCATGATTATTTAGATAATGGTACGGAACTCTTCGTGCTCGAGACCGATTCGCACTTGGCAGGTTTTCGTTCTTCAGAGTCAATCTACAGTCGCGACCGTACAGGCTATTATAATATAAGCAGAAAAAAGGAAAGTAACATGTCTATATATATCCCACTGCTGAACTAATGTCTTTTTGGTTTGTTTCTTGTTTCCCTCCACTGAGGACTGAGCAACGTAAAGCTAGCTTTTCTTAACTTTTTTTTATGTGAGAAGGCAAGGCAGGTGGCAACGTGATAACTTTTCGCATGAAAAACAAACAAAATTTGTACTACGCATATTTCATATGTTCATCATTGCTTGCCAAACCTATCCAAACTAAAATTAAAAAAAGGATACAGATACGGAATAAATTAAAGCAGAGAATAAAATGAATTGCGAAAGTGAATGCATCCAGCACACACTTGGTCCAGACTTGGAGCTATTCAGAACATTTTCCCGATACAGCCTTTTCCGTTGTGGAAAATGGATAAAATGTGGACATTTCTTGATGTGTACAGTTCTTTATAGTTCAGTGTCCGGGTTTTCGCTTTTAATTCAATATTCTCGAGCAACCTTTGTTTAAATCCCAATGTCGGTCAATGAAATTGTTAAGTTGCAAGTTTTAGATAATAAAAAATTCGAAAATTTGTCTAGCCTGCCAAACCGTAGTAGTGTCGTACAGTATAATATATGTTAAGTAACTTTGCTTTAACATTATCTTTATGCAGTCCATTACCACATAAAGATGTACACAAATTAAACCTGAATCTGTGTCAGTTAGGTGATTTAAAAAGTATACGTTGCTACGTAATCAATACCAATAACGTTTTAAAATCCGGAAAATGGTTTTATTAAATTTCGCGTGAACTAGGGAAACTATTAATACTATTAATGAATTTTTTTCTGCAAGAACAGACGTTAGTTTTCATAACCTAGATCATTATACATATATATAGACATCACTGCCCTCCCCTCAGGGTCTATTCTCCCGGATGACCTTCCGTGAACCGGTGTGGGTCGGGGGCGCTGGCAACACCACCGGCCTCCAGAGCAAGCTGAGCCTGTCCGAGGGTCTTCTCGGTTGCGTCGACTTCCTCAGGATCAACGGTGACACCTACAGCCTGATGAAGGATGCCGTCTCCACTCAGGACATCAGTAAGTTCAAACGCACTAACACACTCATAAACGGCCACGCCTGTCACCCAGAGAGCCAGTTTTTACTGCCGCGCCTGCCACGGCTGCCACCCAGAGATGCAAATTTTACTGCTGGAAGGATCAGTGAGTAAGATTCGAAATTAGATCGAATTCATTACCTTATGTCATCGGAATCTATGCATAAGTCTAGTTTGTTCCCAGAAGTGTCTTCTCCACCGCTTTCAATAAATCGACGGTATAAAAACTAAGTGGATGGATAAAACTGTTATCATTATTTCAAATGTTATCGTTGTCAACGCATAGGCAACCCTCGGATGTCATCTGCTACACCTCTCCATGGGCGGCGGTATTCACTTAACATCAGGTGAACCGTCTGCTTGCTTGGCAACTTTAACATTAAAAAACAAGCGTTTTTTTTTTTCTTTGCAAAGACCTCTATCATTTTTCTCCACAAATTATTTGAGTCTATTCATTTATATAAAACAAAAAAATCTATGCGTTACAAGTTAGGAAAGTGGAGCAGCCAGGTTATAGAATGGTACCCAAGAGACGGAAAACGAAACCGAGGCAGACAGCATTTAAGATGGGAAGACGAACTTCGTCTAACAGCTGAGCCAAAATGGAGAAGGGTAGCCCAAGATAGGCAACAGTGGAGATCGTTGGAGGAGGCCTTTGCCAATAGGCACACCGAACTACGGGACTTTCTGTAGTTTATTTTATTTCTTAATTAAGTATAGTCTATTATAATTAAGTATTCTATTCTATTGCTGAATATCTTGACGACGCCAATGTGTGGGGTTAATACTGTTAATACTCACGTAGGCTAAAACAAGACTATTGTACATGTACTATTATATTGTAAACTGACTTTTTTTAAAAAGAGCAACTGTTGAGTTTCTTGCCGGTTTCTTCTCAACAGAAACTGCTTTCCGAACCGGTGGTAACTTACGAACGTGTTAATTTCTTGTAAAATTTTGACGTTTCATAAGAACGCGCAAGCGTCTATGTGAATAAAGATATTTTATTATATATTATTATTATTATTATAGTGTAAGAACATTTAGTGCTCGGAATAAAGGGCTGTATTATTATTATTATTATTTATATAAAACAGTAAAAACTTCATAATGAAGTAAAGTTTTGATGTAATTTGCTTTTCTCATATTTCATCAGTGTAATACAAATTTTTAGTTGTTCTATAATAATTTTGTTTCGCATTTTAGAATTATACTTCTAAAATTTTTTTAAAGCTCAAAACGCGTATTTATTGTTTTAAATTGTCAAACTTAAAATAGGGGTTTTAGGGTTTTTGGTTTTAATTATTCATCCTAACTTATATTATAAAGGCGAAAGTTGGATGGATGTTTGTTACTCTTTCATATGCAAATACTGAATGGATTTTAATGAAACTTTCCAATAATATAGGTTATATATCAGAATAAGACTTAAGCTATAATTTATATACAAATTTTAGGTATATCTGTCTTGTACAGATCTCCTAAAATAAGTTTAGAGATCTTTACCGATTTAGTTGTACAAGTCTGATAGTATCTACGTATAATTTAAGTATTTATGTCAGATGTACGTACGTAGTTTATGTTATGCATCTTACAGGTACTCCCAAAAAGTCAATGACCGCTTTACTTTTAAATGAATATTATTCTATGTGTCGGCGACAGCGATAGATTAGCGATACGAAGGTCTTCGGTAGGAGCTTTTGGTGCAGGGTTCATGGCGTAGGTCTCAGGCAATTAAACCACAAAGATACAGTAGGTATATCTTGTATTCTATGAAGATAACCAATATAGTACAAAGTTCCGAAGTGAACCAAAGGTCCCATTTAGAAGGTCCGAACTGTATCGCTCTCAATAATGAACTGAGTAACTCCGTAATACTGAGCCCGGACTCACTGCTCTCCCATATTTAAAATGTAATAGTTGCCACCTCAAAACGCTTATCACCAGGTGAGCCGAATGCTCGTTTGCCTCCAATTCCCATTAAAAAAAAACCGATTCCGATCACGTGACTCGTTTCGTCACGGTGTTCACTCCTCACCGTTACAACAATATCAATTGAGTTACTAATTATTGTTAAATTATGGTAATCAACGACATATAAATATATACGTTCAATTAATTTTATTAAGATTTTTATACGACTCGATTTAATAAATAAACTAATTTATTGTACTAAGCGCTAAATTGAGGTCTCTCAGTGCGGCCATTAAAACATCTCCAAAACAAATTATGCTCCGTCGAATACATAGAAGATCCGTAGATCCGTACCTTCCTATCCCGTAGCTAAAATAATATATCGCTTCGACCAATTTTCGGTAACGCGATATACAAAATTCACCGCCTAATACCACTGCAAATGGCCCGACCGACCGTTCCCATAACGAGGGGTAATTTGCAAAGAAATACTCGATTCACTTGTAGAGTCCAATATACAAGAAATTGTACGTTTGAAATTATGATAAAAGTTTCATTCAACCACTTAATTTTTGGTGGCGTAAGTTGTCAATTTTACAAAAATAATTAAAATAAAAATACTTTTCCAATCTCATCGTCGTTTCGCGAAGCTTCTGTTACGCTTTACCTTCAAGACTCGATATCTTATACTACTGCACATCGACGATTGGAAGAATTGGGAAGAAGACTACTAACACAGAATCTGTGTTTGTCCACTTTCTCTTTCAGTAAGAACAATAAATAAAAGTTAAGATTTTCGTCGGTGTGGCAATCAGCCATTTAGCTTAGTGGCTAAAGCGTCAGGCCGCGAATGCCGAAGACGTGGGTTTGATTCCCACAGCGGCGACAATCTTTTCGTACTTTTTCTACAAGTTTTAATGTTTAATCTTAAGTGCAGAGATTAGCACTATAAATAACTTTAAATTTCTAATAAATAAAAGTGAAGGATAATCGCAAAGAAACCCGCTCTCATACATTTATTTAATTGACGGGAAATCAAAAGCAAATAACAATATTAAAGAGCAGACGAAAAAGGTAGAAACGTTAAAACACATTAAAACGTTAACTAGAAGATAAACATCCATACTAATATTATAAATGCGAAAGTAACTCTGTCTGTCTGTCTCGCTTTCACGCCAAAACTACTGAACCGATTTAAATGAAATTTACTACACAGATAGTCTAGAGCATGAGAAAGGACAGGGTATTTTTAATTGGATTTAAAAAAAATATATTTATTTAAGGGTTTGAACACGACCGAAGCCGCGGGCGAAAAGCTAGTAATATATAAATTATCAAACAGTCAAACTGAAAATAAGATCAGCATTTCCTCAAAATTACAACACGAGTGATATATTTCGGCAAAAAATGTTGACTAAATACTTTACCAATGATTACTGTCTTAAATAAAGTACTACACAAATTCAAATACCCACCATATTTTTGTTGTACCCGCGGAATATTTTCTTTACCTATATAACAAAACAAACATACTGACATCTTCTGAAATGTTCTGATATTTACGTTTATAGGATATGTCACTACAACGTAAGTGTCTTCTCACAAGCTCGCATTTCCCCCACCGATATCCAATACACACGGAGCAGGGCGAGACTTAGAACAAACCCCTTGTGCTGGACGCAATATATTTTGTATTATTATTTCGAAAACATGCAATGTTTCCACACGATGCTTTTTTGAACGATGAGCACGTGTTATATAAGCACTTAAAACTTCAATTAAGAATTCAACTAGTGCCGGGACTAAAATTTGAACTCAGGTTGCTGGAGGGTACAAGGATGGAAGCGAACGCCCGAACACTGAGCTATCACGGCTCTATAATAATGATGCTAGCAAATCATAATAATCATTAATATTATTTATTCATTATAAAAATGATAATTATTATAATTTGTTACCATTAAACATGGCTCATATCAACATTTGTTAAAACATCGTGAACCGATGTTTAGAGATAATAGATTAATTTAATTAACAGAAAGCATGGCAAATTATATAACAAAAAAGTAAAAAGAAGTAAAGTAACAGCCTATAAATGGGGTATTGTCCACCATGCGACCCCACTGCGGATTGGCTGACATCACATATCTTTGAAATATTTTTTTATATCTCGAAAATGTGCAGGTTTCCTCACGATGTTTACCTTCACCGCTGCGCACATGATCACATAAAATTAACAATTTCATTGGTGACTAATAGTACTAACGGGATTTTCTTGAATGATAATAATTTTGTTGTTTTGGGTGAAAGCTTTATGGCTGAACCCACAATAAAAAATAAAGCATTTCAAAATGGCGGCCCCGCCTTGTTAGAATGCATTTCGCGCGCAAATGTCGCGTCAACGCCGACACTGTGTACAGAATCAAATGGAACGTTTTAAATTCAATACCGGTTCGCTTTGAAATGATTGGGCGCCTCAATTCGGAGCTTTGTACCAGTTCCATAACAACTTTTCTATTGTATTTTATTGGTTTAGAAATAAAGAAGAAAATAGTACAGACATATATTATTATATTAAAAAACTTTGTTAAAATGTTCACTAAGGCGCGATCATCAGTCGTTTAAATAATTCGATTTCAAATGACCGAGAGAACGCAAATATTTATTTATTTATTTATAAACAAAGGCATTTTATGACAGGCAATCTAACGAGTAATTTGGAGAAGTTGAGGTACGTGCACATTAAAATAAAATAATAAATAACAAGAGAAACGAATACACATAAAAGAGAAACGAGTAGGTACTTGTATTCAAAACTTACTTTGCTGATTAACTGGACACAATACTACACCTATACACATATAAACACGCATACATATCGTATATTATTATATTGTATGTTATATAATATTCACATCGGCTAGCCAAACTAACGATCGATTTTTTCGTATGAACGATGCGAACACGCTTTAGAAATAACTTAACGGCGTAATGCGCCGTTTACAACTTTACGAGCGTTAAACTTGCGCCAACGTGTGCCATAAATCCTCATTGCGAAGGCTTTTACTC